CAACAATGACAATTTTTTTTAGAGAAAGGGAGAAAACATGCATTTTTAAAATTGAAGCTATCAAATAAAATGCTTATCCTGCTCAGCTCTGGGAAACATCTTTATGCCCATTGGGACTTCTGTCTGCACAGATGCCAAAAATAGATGCATTTTATTGTTTGGAACAGTATCCATAAGGGTGCTCGTGTGATTCGAGGGAGGCAGTGGAGCCTGGTGGTTAGTGAGCAGTCTCTCTAGCCACCCTCTCCTCCGCTTGCTGGCTGCGGTGTCTTGGGCTCATTACTTAACTTCTCTGAGATTACATTTCCTAAATTAGGATTAATAACAGTATCAATCTTAACGGGTGGTTCAGAGGTTAAATTGGAATAATAGACAGAAAGTGCTTAGCATATTGCCGAACATACAGTAAGTGCTCAATATGTGTTCATAGTGACAATACATATATGGGCACAACATCCTCAATTCTCTACCCCAAAGACAGGACGCAACCATTTTAACTTTTCTAACCAAAAGACAGCCTCTAGAACAGGGAAGTGACCAGGTCAGCAATTCTCCTCTCGTGCTTCTCCCAGCTCATTACAGAAGAAAAGGCACATGTGACGGCCAGCTGCACTTGGACCCAGGCCACAGCAGGCTCTGTGCCTGCTTGTCTGCCCTAAACACTATGTCCTAGAGGCCACACTTTGTACCCCCTCCAGGCCCCCACAGCACACACAACAGTGCTTTCCACTGAGTGGGCTTCAACAAACGTGTGTTAGACTCTCCAGGTTTGCATGCATTTAATTCCTTTCCCCTACAGCTCCTCTTTTTCAAGAAAGAAAAACAAAAAAGCTGCAAGAATAAGCTAAACAGAAGAAACAATATGAAATAATTCACAACAACACTTCAGAAAATTCTCCCTGGCAGCCCCAAATCTTGCTCATCTATGTTATCTAGCATTGCAAAACATGTTGCCCTCTTGTTTGGGTAAGAGACTATCTTCATTTCTTCACAGCTGTGGGAGTAGCTGGAGAAAGAGGAGGACGAGTGCAGCCCTCAGGGAGCCAATAAGGAGGCAACGCTCTTTGGCTCCCGTTATTTGTTTGGCTGTTTCCTCCCGGGAAGCCCAGACGCAGGGTGGGGGTGGGAGCAGGATGCAACATTGGGCCTAGAAGGGCAAACAACACAGCCTGGTCAGGCCTAAATAAGTCTTGAAGCTTTATCTCTAGAACCCAACCTATGTTGGACGACTTTCAAGGGATGTGACCATGTCTTGACCTACTTTCTTGTCAGCGGAGGAGCTTTTATAATGTCAGGCACAGGTGGATGTTTAATCAATATTATGACCTGATACTCTACTGCTATAACAGGCTCAGGAAACGAACTTAGCCATGAACATTATTTTTCCAGGCATAGAAATCTGAACATAAATTCTACCTGGATGGAAAGAAGGCTCAGAAATTTTGACTTACACTGATATCTCTGTTGCATACCATTTTGAAAGCTGTCCTGATTTTGCAGGTTCTGGTGGCTTAATGGGCTTCTTTTGTCTCGCCCATAAACAAGCTTCAAGTCAGTTTACCTTAGAAGCATGAAAGATGATTACAACCAGCCTTCTGTATAGTGTATATAAACATGTAGAGTGTATTCCATGCTAGCAGTTGTACAGAGAATCAAGTTGACGTAGCTTACGATGAAAACCCAGTCTTTAATGAATCACTCAAAAAACAATTGCTTACTGAGCAGGCTGGATGCTAGAAATACAAGGACAAGCAACAGACATGGCACTCATTTCAAGGAGCTTACTGTCTAGAAGATCTTTTTACTGAAAACAGAATAACAATTTCGATTGTAGTTTTGTATTGTGTCAAGATGACCTAATTTCCCAGAGTTCCCTCTCCTGTATTGTTCCATTTAGGGTTGGCCACAAGAGAAATCTGCATGAGTTTTGGAAGGCATAATGAAACTGCGGCCTGGCTGTTGTGTTGGGCACCAAGAACTGTGCAGCTGGTATGCGATGTCAGCTGGATCACCATGCCTGCACAGGGCAGGACCAAGGTTGATGCTTCTTCAGATCCTGCCATATCTTCCTCAGTTTTTCCCATTCTTGGGCCAGGTGTGTGCGAGCAACTTCAGCAAGTTACCTGCATCCCCAGCATTGAGGCAAGGACAGACAGACAGGGGTTCCAGTTTGTCCCTGTTCTCCCCCATTTCACATCCAGCTTTCCTTTTCAACTGCGGACGCTGCCAGCTACAGTGACTTCAGGACCACACAGAAACCGAGGTGACAGCCTTACATAAACTTCTTCACGGCGCAGCTTGCACAATTGTGTAAGGTCTAATTCCTATAGTAAATATCTGTATCTCTCACGGTGGTTCTGCTTCCCTGGTTGAACCTTGAAGCCTGAGAGATCAATTACCTACATTTTAGCAGCAAAGGCGCTTTGACAACAGTATCAAGTTTATAAGCCTTTCAATGAAGAAATGGTTTTTAATACATATTTGCGTTAAGTAATATCACTGCTTGCCAAACTAAGCCATAGACAGATGTGCTAGCTCTCATGCTGAACACACACAGCCCCTTTGGCAAGTGCTAACAACCAAATTCCAAAATACCTGTCCAAACCTTCCCTGTTCTTTCCCCCTCGAGCCTACTTCCCTTTTCCCAGCTATTATTGGGTGGGTGTGGGGGGTGTGTGCATAAAGTAATGGCAATAGGATTGAAGTCAAAAGAAGAAGGAAATCTGAATTTAGGACTTGCACAGCACAGCAATGTGCTTGGAGTTAAGATGCCCACGGTGAGTTCTAACAACGGTTACAGAGACTCCAATTTTCATAAAAATGTTTCAACTTGCTGTGACAGATATTAATATGAAGACATCCTCTTAGGCTAGCTTATATATGACTGATTATTTACAACCCAGGATTTGTTTGTATTTAATTCCTTCCTAGCAAGAGACACCTGCAAAGGATTTTTTTTTCCAGCAAACCTGCAGAGGGAGCTGGTTCCTTAGAGAAGCAACAAATGCCTTTCTCAGGTTGATCCATCGTGGGATTGACTGAATGCAAACACACTAAAGCTATGTCAAAGAAGGTGGGCTGGCAGTTGATGGAAAATGGCGGTTTTGAGGATGAAGCCTTTGCAGCTAGTCGAGCTACAGAGGTTGCGATCACTCGGGAAAGGTCACATAGTACTGAAACCATCTGGTTTGGGGTCTTTCTGTCCTACCAGCCTACATGCTTCCCAAGGGCAGCAGGCATGTATCTTATTTTTCTTTATAGCTCCATCAGCAAGCACAGTGCCTGGCATACAGGAAGTGCTTAGTAAATGTTTTTTTGAACTAAAAAGACCTGGTTCTTGTTAAAAGAGGAAACAAACCCATATTTTTCAAAAGATACTTAGAATAAATTTACCGAAGAGCAAGAAGTGGTCTTAAAAGACCAGGAAATAACCCTCTGTGAAGGAGCTAGTCTCATGAAGCTGGTGGTACAAACTCAAGCAGCCCACTGCACCTGCTTTACCAGGGAAAACAGAAATGAAATGTGGGACATAAGAAGATTCTGAATTCCCCGAGGCTGTGTCCAGCAACTTAGGATCATCACTTCCCTCATTCCATGTGGGCTATTCAGAAATAGAATACAACCAACCTCTTATAAAAACTACTCAAATCCCACAGCACAGCAAGGAAGATTACAAACACTAAGCTGTCATCCACCAAGTATATTGTGAAATTTCCAGATAGCTGCCAAAGAGGAAAAGCCAACATTGATGACAGCCATCGACACCTGCGACATGGGTGTATGCATTCTCAGCAACACCTCCTGCTCCTGGGTGCACCTGGAGAACATCACCTTCTCCAGTAGCAGAGGAGAAGCTTCCCTTGGTAAAATCTGCTACAAAGGCGAGTCATCCAATGCCAAATGCCCCTGAGGTTAGAGCCTCGTGTATCCCTGGATGGTGGGCATCCCCTTTGACCAGGCTCCAAGACTGACATCCACTAGGATCCCCTGCTACTCCCTGCCCCACATTGGTCTTCTCATCCCTTAGACTTTCCCTGAACCAGCTGATCATTTGCCATGGTTTCAACGATGCTCCTCTCTGTGCCTAAGCTCTAGACCTGTATAAACAATGATAGATAACCTACTAGCCATCTTCACCTGAATTTCCAGAATTCAAAATAAATTATTTCTTGAGCACCTACAATATACCAGGCTTGGGACAGACCAGGAAACAAAACACAGATCCCTGTCCTCACGGAGCTACACTCCAGTGACATGTCTGCCAAACTCAGCACGTTCATGCAGAATTGATGAGCTTTCCCAGCCCTGCTCCTCTGCCTCTGCCTTCTCCGTCAACGGCATTGCCCTTCACTCACTGGCTTCTTTTCTGCCTCATCCTCACAAGGTTCCAACTTCTGTCAGGTTCACACTTATCCCTGCTGTGACCACTCCCCACTGCTCAGAGGACACCCAGCCTTCTGCCATCTGACCCGGCCTCAACTATTAGACTTACCTCCCACTACACCCCGTGTTCCAGCTACATTCAACTGAACCCACCATTCATTCACTTCCGAGCCTCTTGACCTCCAGCAGGTTTATCATCCTGCCTCAGCCCTCCCTCCTTCTCCTGGCCTGGTAAGTCCCTACCCATCCTCTAAGGACCAGCTCAGTTGACATCTCTTCTTGGCAGACTTCCTCTATTCAAGCAGACAGTTCCTGGCTGCCTCCTCTAATTCAGTTATGATACTGTACTGACTTGCTTACCTATCGCCTCCCTCTCCAGACTGAGAACTCACTGAAGTCAAGGATCACGCTGTCCATCTTGGGCCACCCCAGGCAGCCCCCCAGCACCATGCCTGGCATGCAGGAGGTGCTCAAACAAACAGCTGTTCAATTTTGGTAACCCTCTTACACTAGAAGTAAAAGCCTTTTGCTCACCAGTGAGAATCCCTAATTGAACAGAAAGCATTTTTCTCTTTCTAGAGACTGGAGGTGTTAGATTAAATAAGATAACCACTCACTTCACTTCTGGAAGCAACAGCCCGGTGCAGTGGGGTCAGCCACATGTTGTCCTTGGCGTTTACACGAGCTCCTGGAACCAAACAGCACAGGTTAGAGGCATAAGGCAGTCGGGGGACGTTCTGCTGATGTTAAGTCAAATGCTCTGTCTTGCGCTCTCATTTGCCTGGTACAACCATCACATTTTGTTTTGCTTTTTTCCTTGCATCAGTCATGTGCTTTCTAGCCACCAGACAGGAGGAGGCACCCAGCACAGTAGAAGGAGTAAGATCAGGGGTCACAAGCATTGGGTAAAGTCTAGATGAGAAATGCAGTGTCTCATTGGGTAGGAGATGACAATCTGAGATTGTTAGGGACTATGGAGGGCTAGAGATTCTCCGGGACCATGGAAATGTAGGTTCTGAAGAATGAAGAACTTTTCAGGTGTGCATGTGTGTGTGTTTCTGAATATAATATATATTACTGAATATGAAATATATAATCATATATATTATTTTATTTTTAGTCATTAAGTATATTCATTGCACAGGGCACACAATACCCTTCTTGGCAAACTGTCAGGGATGAGCAACTTTCCAACAAACATATACGGAGGCCAGTTAGATTTTAAACAAATCTTGTAAAGTTGAGTTCTGATGAGATTTGATCTGGGCTGAGAGGATTAGCAGAAATCTGTTTTATCCAAGAATCCCAATTATTTCTCTAGGACTAGCCAGATATTTTGGTAGCAAGAGGCCAACCTCCATGGAGCTTTTGGACAGACACAGCATGAAGCCTATGTAGGTTGCTCAGGCTCCCTCACACCACGGGGTGGTTAGACAGGCTCACACGCGAGGCAGACCCAGCTCACATTCAGGGGTGTGTCTCATGCTCAACTCTCTAGGAGTCATGTCACCATCCTGGAGCAGAAGCTCTGTAAGAATGGATTCACATAAAGTTGAGTATGCCCTCCTTCTGTGACACCCTCACAATTCTCCTTGAGCGCAAGGAGTCAGTCTACAACTGACCCACTCAGACACCCACTATGAACTTTCTTTTTTTGGGTTCAGGGTTTTGATCAGTCTTCTGATCAGAGATGGAAAGCTTTATAAAAGGTCTACGAAAGAGGAGGAGGAGAAAATATGTATATATTGTAGATACAACAAGAGGAGCCTATTTTAGCCTTAGGACAACAAGGAAGGAAGCTCATGAGGAAGAAGACTGGAGGGATGAATCAAAGAAACTAGAAAGTAAGGCAGAGGAGGGGAAGTGCCCAGGAGGTGCCTCTGGGGCAAGGGCCACGAAAATGAGTCAAGTGGAAGCGGGGGGCTGACTAATCCCTGAGGCCAAGGCCAGCTGACAGCTGAAAAATAGAAACCTTGTAAGAAAAAAACAACCAAAAAGGGCAGCAGGAGACTTTCATGGGTAAAAGTGAGCTAAAAACTTAGTTTAAGGCACCAGCTAAAAGGAAATAACAAATCATAGAACTTAGACAATTTTTTCTCTTTAACTGAAGAACAAACACCATCAACAATATTAATTAAAGAAAACCAGAACATAATAATCCCTAAAACAAAGAGGATGTCTTCCCTCCCCCTATTCTGACTTGGGGCCAGGTACAAGTATTTTTAAAAGATCCCCAGGACCCAAGGTTATTATAATACACTGCTAAGGTTGAGAGCCACTGATAAATTGTTGCTTAGTTTATCAAGCTTACAATTATTTGAATTCTAATTCTACCAACTCCATCCATGCAGCTTACCTGAGAAGGTTCAAGCCCCTACATTAATAAGAACCAAATAAAATCAGTTTGGGTGTGCTAAGAATCAGAGGCAGCAGGCATCTCTCCCATAGCAGGAAGCCCTGGGTGAAATGCTCCGCAGTAAAATAAAGGAGGTCTTGGAAGAACAGCGGGATTCATGGGCAGAATAGCCAGATGTGAGTTCTGATTTCAGCACCTACTGGCCAGTGACCAAGAGCCAGTAATCTGCAAAATGAGGCTAACAACAGCAACAAAAACGATAATACTACTTCTCTGCCCGCTTCATTGGGTGGTTGGGAAAATCAAATGCATGTGAAGGTGCTTTGTAAATGTCAAAGCACTAGAGAAATATTAGCAGTTATTTCTGACTCCCCTCTAACGTCTCATTCACCTCTAAATCTACAACTCAGATTTTCAAGGAAGTGAGAGGCATAGTCCTTTCCCTGCAAAAGAGGGCACGTCGAACACACATTAAGACCACAAAGGACCATCCCTAGAAGAGGGCACGAACAGGTATCTTTCTAAGAGCAAGAGAGACTCGAGTGCTGGAGAATGTTGGGGAGGAGGAAACCAGGATGTAATTAAGAATAGAAAAAACTGTGAATTTTAAAATAAAATTTCCACTACCAGAAACAAATTGTAGATTTCCTTCCTATGTTTCAGTTCCAAGAGAGTGCCCGATAATTGTTACAAAGCCGACCTTTTCGGTTTAGAAACAAATAGCATTTATCCCTTCAGGTCCATTTATTTCCTCTTCCAACATTCTGGAAGCTGTTCCACCCAGTTAAAATTGTCCATCTTTTTGTCAGACCTTTACTTGGGTCAAAATCATGTATATTTTACCACATTGTGTTTATACCGGCATGTCAGAAGACAGCCGCTTTATTCTCTCCAGTAAGTCAAATGCACATTAGATATTTATTTTTAGGCTGTTTCTTTGGCACTCTTGTCACATCACCCAGATCTCACAGGGCTGGGTTCAGACTCACTCCCTTCTAGTAGGCATGGCTGCATCAAGGTATCCCTCCAGATTACCCCGTCCATTTTTAAGGAACTTCCATGTCAGGAAGTCAATCAGTCCTCTGAGACAGAGACATCTGGCCCAAGTCCCGCTGTGCTTGAGTTTGGATTTTCACCTGCCGTCGGCATGATATTCCTTTCACCACTTTCGTCGCCCCCTCCTTCAGCATATTTGTAGGAAGGCAGGCCACACGTGTCAGATGTGATACCTGCCATGGGTAGCATGTCAGTTGTGACTCAGAGCCTCTAAATCAGCGCTGGAATTACGGAAATATGGAAATATAATGTGAGCCAAGTATGTAATTTTATTTTACTCTTTCATTGGTGACATTGGTTTATAACATTATATAAATTGCAGGTGTACACCATTATATTTCACCTTCTGTGTAGACTACAGCATGTTCACCACCCAAAGTCTAATTGCCATCCGTCACTGTACACAAGTGCCCTTTTACCTCTTTCGCCCTCCCCCTTCCCCCCTTCCGCTCTGGTAACCACCAATCTATTCTCTGTCCCTACGTGCTCGTTTGTTGTTGTTGCTTTTTATCTTCCACATATGAGTGAAATCGTATGATATTTGGCTTTTTCTGTCTGACTTATTTCACTTAGCATAATTTTATAATTATGTATGTAATATAATTATGTCATTTTAAATTTTCTAGTAGCCACATTAAAAAGGGTATAAAACATAAGTAAAATTAATTTTAGCAATATATTTTATCTAATCAACATATCCAAAATATTATCACATAATCGAGCTTTAAAAATTATTAGACATTTTATATTTTTTTATGATAAAGCTTCAATTTATGATGAAATAATAAATTGTATACACCAACATTAAAATCTAACCCTTGTGTTAAATTGATTTCAGTCCCCTGAGATGAGAATAAAACCTCTACCCCCCAAATGAATTATGGAATCACCAATCAGTTATGAAGGAATAAGACATTTTTTTTTACCCCCTTCACTCATTTCTCCCAATCCCCCACCCCGTGCTCTGGCAACCACCAATCTGTTCTCAGTATCTATGAGCTTGGTTGTGTTTTTTTGTGTGTTTTGGGTTTTTTTTTTTTTTAGATTCCACATATAAGAGACATCATACAATATTTGTCTTTCTCTGTCTGACTTATTTTACTTAACGCAATGCCCTTGGGGTCCATCCATGTTGTCACAAAGAGTAAGATTTCATTCTTTTTTATGGCTGAATAATATTCCATCGTGTGTGTGTGTCTATATATATATATATATATATATATACAGTTTCTGTATCTATTTATCCATCATCAATGGACACTTGAGTTGTTTCCACATTTTAGCTATTATAAATAACGCTGCAATGAATATGGGGGTGTATATATCTTTTGAGTTAGTGCTTTTGTTTTCTTTGGATAAATACTCAGAAGTGGAATTGCTGGATCATATGGTAGCTCTAGTTTTAATTTTTTGAGAAACCTCCTTACTGTTTTCCATAGTGGCTGCACCAATTTACGTTCCCACCAACAGTGCACAAGGATTCCCTTTTCTCCACATCCTCACCAACCCTTGTTATCTCTTGTCTCTTTGACAATAGCCATCCTAACAGGTCTGAGGTAATATTTCATTGTGGTTTTGATTTGCATTTCGCTGATGATTAGCAGTTTGAGCACCTTCTCATGTGCCTGTTGGCCATCGGCATGTCGTCTTTGAAAAATGTCTATTCAGATCTTCTGCCCATTTTTTAATCAGATTGTTTGTTTTTTTGCAACTGAGTTGTATGAGTTCTTTATATATTTTGGATATTAACCTCTTATTAGATACATGATTTACCAATATTTTCTCCTATTCAGTAGGTTGCCTTTTCATTTTGTTGATGGTTTCCTTTGCTGTGAAGAAGCTTGTAGTTTGATGTAGTCCCACTTGTTTATTTTTGCTTCTGTTGCTTTTGTTTTGGTGTCAGATTCAAAAAATCATTGCCAAGACCAATGTCAAGGAGCTTATCACCTATTTTTTCTTCTAGGAGTTTTATGGTTTCAAATCTTACATTAAGGTCTTTAATCCATTTTGAGTTAATTTTTGTGTATGGTATGAGACAGTGGTCCAGTTTCATTCTTTTGTGTGTGGCTGTCCAGTTTTCCCAGCACCAATTATTGAAGAGACTGTCCTTTCTCCATTGTATTCTTGGCTCCTTTATCAACAATTAATTGACCATATATGCATGGGTTTATTTCTGGGCTCTCCATTGATCTACGTGTCTGTTTTTATGCCAATACCATACCGTTTTAATTACTACAGCTTTGTAATATAGTTTGAAATCAGGGACCATGATGCCA